GTTTGTAATTTTCAACTGCCATTTGGTAAGCAATTTCACGTGCTTGCTTGTGCGTTAAACCATGGAACATCTTCGAGCACTGCATCACATATTCACTGCGGGCTTGCTCCTAGTCAGCAGTGAATATCTTCGCATGGCTGTAGTTGGGCTCAAGACGAGCTGCAGGATCGACACTGTGCTTTGCGACGTACCTTCCAAGGACGCTTTTGTTCGCACTGTGGGGCTCTGCAGCTTTTCTCAGACTCACTTCCCCTTCTACAATATCTTTGACAGCCAGCAGCATTGAATCATGAGATACATCCGCGTACCCATTTTCTTTTCTAACGTATACACGTGGCATGGTTTTGAAAGAAGGAAAAATGTAAATAAGTTTCGATAAAAACAGTTCCATCAATTTACAGCTATGTATAGCATTATGCACGTGTGACGTTAATGGTTCCTGCAGGAGAATTGGGACATCTGCATGACGATAGGGACGGGTGTCCCTATTCTCCTGCAGCGCACGCTAGCTACTAGACGAGTTCTCCGCCGTTCGTCAATTGGCTTATATAATTTTAAATGCAAGCAAGAAAATCAACATTATGTTAGCTTACGATGTGAAATAGTTAAAAGAAAAGATGGCTTGACATGAACAGCACACACAACTTGAAATAACACTCGAAAAGTATAGTTTTTTGGCACTCACCCCGTGCAGCGTTCCTGTGCACCGGAGAAGGGCAGTTGATAGTTTGCAGCTTTACTTGATACAAAAAGGAAAAACATTAAAGTACAAGTGGTGATTCGGAGCTGCCCATCTCTAAGATATTTGTGTGTCGCTATTCTCCTTCGTCCCAATTCTCCCGCCTCTCCCCCACGTCATTGCTTGATGGCGTCATGGAATGGTTCTGTAACGACAGCAATACCTGGCAGCATCTGGCAGCTAGACCTAAAGAATACCTCGAAACACACGAAAGCTGACACCATTTGGCCATTCTCGTCGCGGAGGCTGTGTCGATTGGCGGGTTAGTGGTTGAATTGTTTGTGAATTTGTTGTCTTGGCACTGGCCGTAAGAAAAGCTTTAATGGACTGTTTGGCAAACGCAACGTAGCGATCGCCAGCTATTACGGCAGATCATTAATATCAAAGCACGATATGCTGTGCTGCTGCTGTTGCTGCTGTACCGTGCTCTTGATGATTTTGTCAGTACTTTATTGTCGACCCTTCGTTGCCTGCAGTGCTGTGGTCCTGACGTTGATATCAAGTGACGTGTACAATAGTTACTTCCTTTATTGTTTGTACCTGAAAATGCGGTGCCATGCGAAAATTAATGAATTTGTAACGTTGCCATGACCTGATTGTCAAAGCATTGCCATTGCCGTGGTAAAGATGGTAAGGTTGGGCTGCCAATAATGTTTTTTTTGCTTCGACTTATTTATGCAATTGATAGTTAACCCTGATATAACCAATGTGCTGTAATGACATTCTCGCTGTTGATAGTCCTTTGGCATTGCTAAATCATTTGTTAACAGTCATTCATGAATTATATGCTGCTGTTGCACAGGCTTGACATAGAGTAGTCAACCAATGTGGTGCCTTGTGTAATGACACGGGTCAACAGCTCCGACACCACCTCAGTGCTGTACTGAGGCATGACATAATGAACAATGATGTGGTTTTTGTACTGCAATCCATGCTGCTTTTATAATAAATTACATCATGAAAAGATGTGCCAAGCGTCTTCGCTTGTATTCACTCCCTATCTGGCATATGACTGACCAAAAACACATGATAAAATATACAAATCACTTTCCGCAAAGCAGACAACCAATAAGTGGCATCACTTGCTGAGCCTGTTTTGGGAATCCACAAAACGTAGGTGAGAAATATGCGAACACATCTTCTACTCCCACAGTCATGCAGCATGCTGCAGCCATCAGGCTGCTTAACTAAAAAATAACAGGAAAATTTTACATGGGGTGAAATGACACTGCAAACATGCTGACCTTGCACAAGGCTGGAGACACGACAAGTGCATGTAGTTATGGTTGGATGGGCAAAATGCAGGGAAGTCAGGAAGCTGCCAGCGCACACGAGGCTCATGATAAAAATATTATTAAGTGCTATCCAAGACACCAACAGCAATAGATCTCGACCTTTCTCAGCACCCAGCATCTCACGCAAGTTGCAGTGATTATGACATTGATGACTGACGAGCAATGCTCGCCTGCATACATAATTCGTGAAGACAGTACAATGCGCATCAGTCATAATACAGCTCTATATTTTCAGAATTCTTGAGGGAAAGACAATTTTGCAAAACCATATAATGTGAGCCTATGCTGAGCATATGTTTTAATGAGCTGTACACACCAGCCCCTACTGCCAAAATGAATTGCTGATATAATGACACGCAATAGACTAAGAACATGCTGTAATACCCCGATAGGTTCAAAATGTTGGCAAGATCATAATGAAGTACCAGCTTGCCTTTGTACACCCTTGCAACATAAGTGCTAGTGCTTCTCTTAGTTTTCAAACGCTCCCTTGTCATGTTCAAACACAAACATAAAGGTAGAGGCAGGTACCAATATATCCCGTTTGTTGGGAGCCAGTAGACTTAAGGAACACCAAAACAATGTTCTCTCAGAGGTACAAACCTCGCACGCACACTCCCCATTACATCAAGATCAATACAAGCCACTGGTACACACCACCAGTGATCACACATATTGCAAGCCCCCGATTCACACTCTAGTCAAATAAGTGTGATCTCACACTTGCACAGCTCGCAGAATTATCAAATTGCAGGTTTTCTCGCAATTTCCGCACATACTTTTAGTCAGAACTCCGCATTTCACCGTGATATCCATTCAAAACAAAGTCTCAACGCGGGTTCATGGTAATGGGGCCCAAGAGCTTTCTTCAAGAAGAAGAAAAAACGCCAGCAGGAAAAGGCAGATTTGCTGTTGCGTCTTCTTCTTGATAAGCTTCGGGAGAGTGTCCGTTTTTTGGATGCCGTAATTTTTTGCAGACAGCGGCGTTTTTTGTAACATGGATCCGTGGCCTAGAAATGAAGAAAAATGACCCGTTCACAACGAGTGCCGCACAGCCGAAAGTGCTCACGCTTACGTTCGCGAAACGCATCCAGCGCCGATATCTTGCCAACAGCCATTCATCTTCCGCGCATTGCATCATACGTGCCGCATTATCGCTTTGGCGAATGTACCAGCGGCCATGCTGTTTTGACCATAAGCAGAAAGCAGCCTGTAGTATGACGGCGATCACAAGACGTTTCTATGACGTCATTAATGCCGAGGTAACTTTGAAATAGGCTCCAAATAAACCATTCGCACTTTAGCGGGCGTGAAACTCGGGAACCAGATCGTTTTGGGTCTTAAAAAGGACAAGGCCGTGAACTGCATCAAAAGGTCCTCAAGATGACCATTTCAGTTTAAAACGGCGTACAAATGTGGAACATTGCCTTTAATGTCGGCTATCGATGTGGTTTTCGATCACATCTAGTAGTCAGAGCTTTCGATGCCCCGTTAAAGTCGAGAAATGTCGACGTAGTCTGACAGGCTCTTCTTCTCTGAGCAATGTGAAAAGAAACCGAAGGAGTCTGGATTTTTCAGGCTACGTTGTCTCGCAGTGCCAATGAGAAAAAAATGCTTCAGACGAGACTATTTGAGACGAAAATCGACGTCTATCAATCTTTTCGTCCTGCGATCAGTTTGAATGTGTTTTGGAAATACGCGCAACTACCCGGGAGGAATTCTAGTATCATCTGTCGATATTTAACGGTTTAGCTTTTTGCGTGTGGAGGGGAGACCATTTGATGCCTCGCCTCGCGAAATGCCTTTTTGTGACGAGTTAGAATGCTACGGGCCACGTTGGGACAAGTTTCGACAAAATCGATGGGCCGTCGATTCCTACTGCTGAAGATGAATTTCGAACAGCTGCTATCTTTACCAACGTTATCTAGCATCGGAAACCGGATCTGGATCGGGAAAACCGGATCAGAGTGGTAAAAGTACTCGCGGAGATTCCAACCGACGCGGCCTTAAGTCTACGGACGGCTGACGCTCGCGACACGCTCACGTTGATGCGAGGAGGCACGGGGATGCAGGGTGAAGTATGGGAAGAGAGGGCAGATAAGTTCCGTTTGTTTCCAGGAGCACCTGTTTCTCGTCCATTAGTGCCGTTTTCAGTCAGGCAAGCCGCAGCCTTGGTCTGAATCACCAGCTCACAACAGGGGAATTGAGAACGACGCAAGGTGCTTCGGGCTAATTATTTCCGTATAATGTCTCCAGGCAAAAGTATTGTTGATTTCCTATTATTACGGGAATACGTTCCCCTACACCCCCCAGTGATGCCGCCCGAGACTGGTTGCGAGACAAGGATATAAAACTGCGAAAAGCATATATATGCACCCCTCTGCTGTGGGTTTTCAATAACCACCCGGTGAGTGGTTCCCGTGTAGATTTTGCGTTGTCGTACAATGCAGTCCTTTCAGAGTCCTGCAGTCTCGAAATGCTGTCCCTGAGCTTTCCCGTGCATTTGTTTTGATCCGCCGGGTCTACGCGTTACGGCTACAACCAGCAGCGTTCAACCAGACATCCCCGCGATCGCAGCGACATTCAGGCGACAGTGGTGACGCCTGCTGGCGCCAGCTAGGCGGAGTCACGACGAGCCGGCGCCGTCCAGATGCTGCGGATGACCACTACACAAACATAGTTCTGGCTAATATTGCTCACACATGGGGTCCAGGGAAAGTATTCCGTCACAGGATTACCTTTTGGATCAAAAAGTATTTTTTAGGCTGTTAAGATTTACAAACAGCAGAAGTTTATTCAAATTAGGAGCATGCTGTGTGTAAACAACCTTGGGAGTCGCGGCGCCCAAGGAGCAGCGGCGGCGTTGGCCTCGGTGAGACTGGTGGGGTTCGCGGAACCGTGCGCTGGCCTGCATAGTAAATTTTCTCGCAACCTGTGTGAGGTAAGCTGCCGTAGGCGGACATACGTGAGGAATTTCCAGGATGTGCGAGTGTTATGGTGATAGGTGATAGTTGGTAAATGTGGTTATGGTCCGCGGGGCTGCCTGGGTTGTTTGACCCCGTCGCCATGGTTGTGCCAGGCATGAATCACCCGAAAATCTAGCGGGCAGCCTTCGCGGGAAAGCCGATGAGTGCCGCCAGTTACTCACCAGGGCTTGGGTGTATCGGTCGCAGTTGTAAGTCGGCGTTTTCGAAAGTGAGGGATAAGTAAGTGACCGGCAGCACAGTGATTGTGATGTTGAGTCATAGTGTTAGACACCTGAGGCGGAGTATCCTGATAGCGCCTTCTGATTCATCACCCAAAGTCTGTTGAATGATGTATTCATGTCCAATTTTAGCCAGTACTGCATATTGTACTTTCTCACTACTTGGTTGCTGTTGTGAGCTACATTTTATATATTTGGGATGATTTTTAGCTTATGTTGCATGTGTCACTAACCCTGTGCTTTGGGCTGGCGGTTCTAGTGTTGATGTGTTGTCAACATGGTTCACAACTTCTTTTTATGAACATGCTTGTGAACTTCCTCAAAAAAGGTTCACAAACTTCCATGAAGTGCTTATGTACCTTTCATGTATATACATGAAGTATTTTCTGCATATATATATATATATATATATATATATATATATATATATATATATATATATGTATCTAGATAGATATTGAACATTTGTATTCTGCATATTTCCATGCCTCTAGTAATACAGATTTCTCAAAGATCTAGCAAGATATGTTGATGCCAGCATTGTCCAAAACTTTGTTTTGCATTTTAATCAAGAAAGGCTGATTTTGCAAAAATTACCTGAAAGATTGCCAAAATTATGCTGCTCATTCACAATGGCTACATTCACAGAAATTCTGTGCCAGTGCTAAAGCAAAGTGCAAAAAATCATGCTTCTTTAACTGGTATTGTTTAGCAAAGGTACAGCGAATGTTCAGTAGGTACTTTCTTTTGAAGTTTTTATAATCCATAGATTGCTTGGGACCAAGTATGCCAGAAAATGGTCATGTTCTCTTCATGGATCCCTCTCCAACTTTGAGAGGCAAGTGGGCTAAAACTGAGGAGGAATTGATTTGTTAGGGTATTTTGCATGCAGCTTCAGTCATTTTTCATTGTTCCTTTAACTCATTTTGCATAACCACATGCATGTACTTGGCCTGTTGTGAAATTGCAACAGTTGATTTGTGTGCCCAAAATATTGTAGCTATGTAGCTATATTTTTGCAATATCATTGTTTCAAGTCTAAATTAACTAACTTTTGGTCTTGGTCTGGTGTAGGTAATAATCCAAACTCTGTATTCATTGCATGCAGTCACATGTGAATGCTGGTGTCAGTGTTGTTTTTTAAAGCATTTTTCTAACTTAGAGAAGTAGAAGTAAGACAGTGCTTGTAGCAGGGCAGGAGGTGATACTGCCAGCTTACCTTAGACTACAGGTGTAGAAAGAAGTGAAAATGTAATGCTAGGTGCACAAGTTATAATAGAATGTTGTCAAAGGGGATAAGTTAAACTTCTGTTGGATGTCAAACTATGCATGTTTTGCTCTTTGGCTTATTCTGTAATTGGTCCAGACCATATGCTTCCCAAAATTATATTCCTTCCCAATTTGTGTTTGATCCTGCTTTGCCGGAAACCAGTCCTGAGTCATAGTTTTTGGCATTGTTTCTGATTCTGATGGGATATGAAAGCATCCTGGCACTAGTTTATGGAATCAGTCATTTCACTGATGATTTGGGCAGCATAACAACATAGCTCAGACTTTATCTCAAAATAAGATGTTGGGAAAAATAAATACCATGCTGAAACAAAAATTTAGTTGATGCAGGGACCAGTGCTGACAACAGGATGAACCACAGGTTTGAATCCTTTTTTTGAAGTTTGTGACATAGCTCACATTTTGTGACATATTTATCAATGTGATTTTACAGTTGACCTGTAATTCTTTGGAATACAGGGCATAAATCAGTTTATCATAAGCATGCCAGTATTTTTGTGGCAGTACTGATTATTGGTAAGCATTCATTGGTGAAGGTCATGACTATGCCAAACTTTGCAACATATCTTTGCACACAAAGCACTAGTTTGTACCAATTTTAATGGATGTGTACAAATCTTTATAATTCAATCTCCACATCACAGGGCCTTGTATGCAAATCTGGATAAGAAATCCAGCCTCAAATATGACTTCCTGCTTCTGTCCCACAGAGTGAGTATCAGGCACAATGTCAGGCCTGAACAGCCTGTTCACATTTACCAGTCCAGCTGTGAAGAAGCTGCTGGGCTGGAAGCAGGGTGACGAGGAGGAGAAATGGGCTGAGAAGGCAGTGGATGCACTTGTCAAGAAGCTGAAGAAGACCAAGGGTGCACTGGAGGACCTGGAGAATGCGCTCAGCAAGCCTGGACAGCGCACCAAGTGCGTCACCATCGCGCGGAGCCTGGACGGCCGACTGCAGGTGAGGGAAGCAGGGAGAGATGGGACTGCAGGGATCAGGGGGCCTGGTTGAACTGTCTGCTTTTGTCAGGTAAAACATGAATCAATAGTTCTTCGTGACATTTAATGTGTCTAAAAGGTAACTTAAGCCAGGCTGGCAGCCTTGGGGCCGTATGTGGCACGATGGTACCCTGCCTGATGAACTGTGGCCTTCCTGACTACCCGTCCCCTCCCCCCCCCCCCCCCCTCCACCTGACGAAACGCGACCCTCCTGATGAGCATGCTCCTCCTGACGAGCCACGCCCCTTCTGATGATCCGCCTCACGTCTGACGAGCTGTTTTCCTTCTGTCCAATTGGCTGGACGAGCCATGGCCGCCTGACAAACTGTCCCCCCACCTGCCTGGGGAGCGGCCCCGCCTGACGCGCCGGCCCGGTCCGGTCTCAGGTGTCCCATCGCAAGGGCCTGCCGCACGTGATCTACTGCCGCGTCTGGCGCTGGCCCGACCTGCAGTCGCACCACGAGCTGAAGCCGGTCGAGGACTGCGCCTACCCCTTCACGGCCAAGCAGAAGGACGTTTGCATCAACCCGTACCACTACCGGCGCGTCGAGAGTCCCGGTGAGGGGGCCGCGCGCGGCTCGGTGGCTGCTGCTGCTGCAGGCGCCGGCGGCACAGGACGCGTTTGTAGTGCGCTTTGCACGGAGTGTTGTGAACAGGTTGTCTGGTGCGCATGTTGTGGCATTGTTTCATTATAAAGTTTTGTGAATTCACGACCACTACAGCTGGAAGGAATGGTGGGAATTGGCAGATTGTCACACATTCATCTTCAGTGAGAATTGCATCAATCATACTGTTTCAACTGGTGGTGGTGGACAGCTGTATCAGATGTGTGCATGGTGCAGTTAGAATCATTACAGTCAAAACCTCGTACAAAAGCATATTGTTGCACACTATCACTTCAGCATATTGTTGTACACCATCACTTCAGCTAAAGATGATGATGAATGTGTCCCGAAAAACAGATCGTACTTTGATTTGATGTGATTTGATCATGACAAATGTATTTTCACATAAGCAGGCATAGTTGGTGTAACCTTCGCCATAGCAATCGCGCTAGACTTCATCCGTCACAATTCAAATTTCCCCTAGATATGAAATTCAGTTATCCTGCATGGTGCAAAGGAGGCCTTTATCTGGAATCAATGTTGTTCTGCCGTAAGGTCTGCACACGTCACTGGCACGACTTTGCCAGGAGCGTACGAGGTCTTGTTTCTTACCTTCGTGAGGTGTCATTTCGACGTCATTCGTGCACAAATGAATGCTCACTCCTAAAACGTATCCTTTCCTCATAGTGTATACCTTCAACCAACTATTGGGCCGGAGTCATTTCCATTTGTGCGTGCTGGCATGCACTCACCCCGCATTACCCACGCGCGTCAACATTGCCTGTACGCCACCGTTAACGACGACCTGGCGCCACCTCCGACCCCCGTGGCGTGCCTGGGTGAGTCAGCGTCGCCCGGGCCCGGGGCGGGGGCGTACCAGATCCTGTCGGCACTGCTGCTGCCACCCTGCCCCAACACAGGCCTGATATTCCGGCGGTACTCTATCGTCTGGGATGTTCTTTCGCTGGGGATAGCTCTCTGCCATCTCTCGTGCGTTGTAACACTGTTCATCGTCTTCCCATGCTGTGACAGTGCTAAACATCTTCCCGCTCTGTAACCCCGTTCGCTGTCTTCCCACACTGACCCTGCTCGCCGCCTTCCTGCGTTGTGATCCTTGTCGACGTCTTCCTGAGCTGTGACCCTGCTCGCCGTCTTCCCGTGCTGTGACACTGCTCGTCTTCCCGCGCTGTGGCACTGCTCATCTTCCCGCACTGTGTGACACTGCTCATCTTCCCGCGCTGTAACACTGTTCATCTTCCCGCGCTGTGACACTGCCCATCTTCCCGCAATCTTTGACATCGCTCGTTTTCTCGCGCTGTGACACTGCTTATCTTCACGCGCTGTGTGACACTGGTAATCTTCCCGTATTGTGTGACACTGGTAATCTTCCTGCACTGTATGTCAATGCTAATCTTCCCACACTGTGACACTGGTAATCGTCCTGCACTGTGTGCCACTGCACATCTTCCCGCGCTGATACTGCTCATTTTCCCACACTATGACACTGTTCATCTTCCCTCACTGTGATCCTGCTCGCCATCTTCCCGCGCCGTCACCCTGCTCGTAGCGGCAGTCCGCCACCCGAGCGCACTCTTCTCGTGTTCCCCGCTCCGTCCCGCAAACCCCCCCCCCCCCCCCCCGCCCCCTGCAACTGACTAACGGGACTGTGTGACTGTAAAAGTTTGCACTGTAGCCATGGCGCTCCCACGTTCCTTTCAGCAGCGCTGTGACCTGGAAACAGTCACATCGCCGTTGTCTCCGTATTCTCGGGGCCCAGCCGACGAAGTGCCGCTGGGGGCGCCGTCCTCTCCCGTCTGCAGTACTGTGAATCTAACCCTGGCCTTCACGTCGATAGCGCAACTCCCGCTCTGATACGTTACTGCGCTCTCCCATGCCGGTCCCGGCACGTATGTAGACTGACACTGCGCCGCTGTCGGCAGTGCTGCCGCCGGTTCTGGTGCCGCGCCACAGCGAGTTCGCGCCCGGCCACTCGATGCTGCAGTTCCAGCCGCCGCCGCCGCCACTTCCCGAGCCCATGATGCCGCACAATGTCAGCTTCGGCAGCCAGGGCTTCGGCCAGCCGAGCTCGCCGCCCAACGGGGCGCCCTCCCCGCTCTCCTCCATCCCGTGAGCATTTGACCTCTACTGAATGCACGCTTGCGGTTGCGTTAACTATCGTGTGATAATTTCGTTTCCTTACTGTGAGCGATTCGTGCCGCGATGATCTTGGAAATCCCTAGTGGTGACATGTCCAACGAGATTGATGGATAGACTGCCATTTTTCCGTCGTGCTTTGCTTGTTGCATCCTGGGGACACGTCAAAAACCGTTGTACGTGCCCTGATGTGTGTGATCCGTCTCTCGCCCTGTCGCACGGGAGCTGTGAAGGCGCGTGTCCACATCGTCTTTCCTTACTCAGCAGTCTGAAGCGGCGCGGCGCCCTAGTCCACTTCTGTACCGTACGGCCCCTGCGGCGGCACTGTCTCGCCGGTGCCGTCCCGCGCTGCCGCGTGGTGCTCGGCGCCGGTGCGGTGTGACGGTGTTGCCCTCGGCCTCGCGCTGGCCGGCGCGGCGTGTGTGGACGTGCCGTGTCGCTCTGACCGCGTCGGCCTCTGTGCGACGCGCGTGACGCCGCCGCGGCCCGCCCGGCAGGTCGGTGGGCTCGCCGAGCTCGGTGGCGTCGGACCCGCAGTCGCCGTTCGGCCTACAGGCCGGCACCCCGCCGCCTGCCTACAGTCAGCAGGACGAGGGTCCCGCCTCGGCCGTGGCGGGCGGCTCCACGCGCATGGACACCAGCACCAGCACGCTCATCCCCACAGACGTGCAGCCCATCACATTCCAGGTGCGGTCCGCGGCGTGCCGTGGTGGTGACCGCTCACTCAGCCGCTCACTCAGCCAGGGCCAAACGACGAACCAGCAACTGGCTGGGCCGAAGACACTGAGCATTTGAGATGGGACCGATTGTAGGTCCGGTGTGCTGGTTCGCGTTTGAAACGGGGCTGCTCATGTATCTGTTCAGTGTGTGCCGATCAGGAATTGCAATGTCGAAGTTCGGTGTGAACGAGATCGCTCGCCATCGCTGGGGCACCCCATCTTCGCAAGGTTATCCCGGCCCGATTTCAAACGTTGCTCTGGCCACATTTCGAACATGACCAATCAATAGCCTTGAAAGGCACAGCGCTCCTTCCAGCACGTTAACAGATCACGACCAGTGAGTCTGGGGCTGGTTTTTATGTCGGATCTGAACGGGGCTCAGACGGCCGTCGCATTCCGGACGTATCCCTCGTTCGTTGAAAGAAAACCAAGCCCATCGCATTCCCTACGTGTCCACCAATCACAGGGTCGTAAACAGGCTCCACTCCAATTACTTAAAACGTATCATTGGCGAGTCTGGCATGCTTTCGAAACCCAGTGCACGAAATTTCAAACATTCGACCACGAGACCATTAGCGGTCTGCAGCCTCCAATTACGGAGCGCTCTCACCGCAAAACGCGACCAAACGCTCAGACGTACGCCCATGCAATGCGGCTTCTGCTGTTCATCAAGCATAGCGCTCAGACTTTCCCCGCATTGTTTTCATTTTCCTCCCGTGCATGTGCTCAGCGACCCCCGCTGTCCCTGTCGTACCCCGCAAAAGCTGCACGCACATTCTTCCCCCCCCCCCCCCGCTGTGGCATCGACTCACGTTTGTCCTCCCGCTGCAGGAGCCGAATTGCTGGTCGAGCATCGCCTACTACGAGCTGAACAACCGCGTGGGCGAGGTGTTCCACGCGGCCGTCCACTCGGTCGTGGTGGACGGCTTCACCGACCCCAACAACAAGGCGGACCGCTTCTGCCTCGGCCAGCTGTCCAACGTCAACCGCAACTCAACCATCGAGAGCACGCGCAAACACATCGGCAAAGGTCAGCCCCCCCCCCCTTCCCCCGGCGGCGGCGGCGGTGGCGCCACCGCCGCCGGTGACATGGTCCTTCTGTGGCGTGCACGTGTGTTTGGCTGAGGGCGGTCGGCAGCTGTCAACTCCGAGTAGGCGGCGGAAGCCCGATGGGGCGTTGGATTCTGTTAATGACGCAAACATGGTGCTTTCGAGATGAGGCGGTCCTCCGGCGCAACGCTTCTGTTTTGGATGTCAATTTTGCCACCCACTCTTGTGCTTAATTCCGTAAAAATCTTCTCGCTGTGAGATGTTTCGTTTTTAATTTCTGAACGCCTATGCTGGTTGCGCAATCTTTTATCATTTGCCATGGAGTATCGGCGATAACTCAGTGATCTGATTCCGGCCATTAGTTCTGTAAATCCTTGAGTTTTCACTGGTCGCTGGTAATGTGGAACGGTAATGCATTTATAGTTTCGATTTCGATTGAGCGTATTTTGTATGCCGCGAGCCAGAGGCGCTCGGACGAAGCCCTGATGCGCAGTTTCGCGGCCTTTGCCTGACCGTTGACGGCGGCTGCCGGCGGTGTGGCATGCTGAAACCCCGTCCGAGGTGCCGGGCGTGACGCCGGTCGCCGTCTCCCTCCAGGCGTGCACCTGTACTACGTGGGCGGTGAGGTGTACGCCGAGTGTCTCTCCGACTCGGCCATCTTCGTGCAGTCCCGCAACTGCAACCACCACCACGGCTTCCATCCGTCGACCGTCTGTAAGATCCCGGCCGGCTGCAGCCTCAAGATCTTCAACAACCAGGAATTCGCTCAGTTGCTCTCGCAAAGCGTCAACCACGGCTACGAGGCCGTGTTCGAGCTGACCAAGATGTGCACCATCAGGTGAGGGGCGTAGGACTGCCGGCCAATTCGCACCGCTATCGCGGGTGGTGGTGATCGGAAGGGGGGGGGGGCGTATTGCGAGAAACAAGGTCGTGTGGGGGAGCTGCTCGGCGGTTCGTCGGTACGTGGAAAAGGCCGTCTTTTCACAAACGTATGTTTTGGTCCACGTGCCGTTGTTCTCAGGTAGAACGATTCTGTTACACGCTGGAATTGCGATCACTCAGCATGGGGGGGTTCTGACGCTCTGGCGGTGTCACTCGGCCCGAGAACGAAAATATAATCCCTGTCACAGACGGCCGTGATGTGTCGTTGGCAGCGCACTGATCGCTAGCACGCTTGGCGCATGTACCCAATTAGCCCATGTAGGCTTCGCATTCAGGAAGCGAGCTTTGCGCGGTGTGAAATCGTCCTGATACGGTCAATCGCTGGCAAGTTAACTTTTGGTAACGTGCATGCGGTTGTTAAAGCGTTAATTTAAAACAAATTCTCTGGTTTATCTGGTTTACCAGAGAACAAGAATGTTTTGTACAAGTCTGTGTCATTTTGTGCTAAGTTCATGACGACTGACGCACCGGGCTTCACGACGGCACAGTGAAAGCGCCCGAAGCCCCGCGACTCATCAAGCAATAACACCCGGCGTTCGTACTCCGAGCCCAAGATCAGTGAAAATGTGTATTATCTCGTGGTGTGACGCCAGGGCCGTCTGCCTTTGCAGGATGTCGTTCGTGAAGGGCTGGGGCGCCGAGTACCACCGCCAGGACGTGACGTCCACGCCCTGCTGGATCGAGATCCACCTGCACGGGCCGCTCCAGTGGTTGGACAAGGTGCTCACGCAGATGGGCTCCCCCCACAACGCCATCTCCAGCGTGTCGTGATCCGGGCGGCCGCCGAGCGCACTGCGATCTCACCCGGCCGCCGCAAGGTGGCGGCACTGGCGTCACGCTCGTCCGCGCGTCTCGCCCGGCGAGCAAGGCGCGCTGCGTTATCATACCGCTTCTCATCCGCTCGTGTGGGTGGGTGCCTCATGGCGTCTGTGCATTCTTGGTCATTTCGGTTAGTTTGCGATTAGATGATGACGCGAGTAGGTACCGCCGTGGAATAGAGCGTACGCATGGTAATAGCGATGCGCTCGCCCGTTGACCTAGTTCTGCGCTTGCCGTCGTGGCAGTGGCGGTGTCGGCGCCTGTGCTGTTGGCCGTCTCGACAAGGGCGTCGTCTTTGTTATGCTGGCTGGATCGGTGGAATTCGTGCGATATATGTGCCATGTGCAGATCCCGTGTGACCGCGGTGTCTCCGAATTCCCACAAGCTTGGGAACTCTTGGACCGCTTGGTGCGCTGCTTATTTGGGGTAGGGTGGGAGTGGCGAAGCGGAGGGAGGGGCATGAAGCCATGGCCTTTTAGACCACGTGTGAACTGTAGACAATCATCGACCTGGTGCAAATCATCTATCTTATATCTTAATTGACCGCCTTTTGGCATCTTAACACCGAGTGAGTGGCGCGTGCTGCGAATGTGCTGTGCTGTAGCTGGTTTTGTACATACTCTGGACGCGTCACGACGGATCTCCTGTCGCAGGGCGCGTGTCGCCGGACACAAGCCGACGCGTCGAGCCGATGCCCTGGGCCGGCGCCAGGTGGCGCGCACGTGCACCGCTCCGCTTGTGCTCGTGCTTCCCGTCCATCGAAACGTGCTTTGCGTCAATACACTTTTATACGTCTTGCTGTTGGGTGTGGTATGCTTCGATACTTGGGAAAAGACTTGTTTAGCGCGGTCCTGGCCGAACTGCCGAAGTAAACTGCCGAACTGTTCTCAACTGCTCTGCGGCGGCCGCACCGCCAGGAGCCCGGCCTGATTTCGCGCCCTGGCTCACTTCTCGCGTTTTAACGTGACGCGTAGTTAGAGCGTTCGAGATGGCATCTGGCGTCCCAGACGTCTGGCGCTCGGTCAGTGTCGTGATTCGCGGGCGGAACGGCGCAGATGCTCTCGCCGTGAACAGCGGGGCGCTCGTGCACGCAGTACCCGGGGGCTCGTCACGGCGTAACGGCTGCCCAACGCTCCAAGATAGAGACTGAGCTCCAAGATAGAGACTCCAACCCAACCCCACCAGCTGAATGACTGGTGGGGTTGGGTTGCTGTCTATTATGAAACATGGGATTTGAATACTGGACTTCCTCGAAGTGTGGGTAAAACGCCTGTTAAGGGTGGGCGCGCCTGTAAATCGTAAAGTGCAGTGTCTGACATCGACATTTTCACTTTAAATTCAAGGTCATCTGGATTTGAATCGCTTGTGCCTTTCGTTCTGTATGTGGGCCCGAAAGCTGCTATTCGGCGGCCTCCTATGTGCAGATGCGACAGCTCCTTTACGCAGTTATGTTTGGACCTGATGGGCATAATGACCATTGCCTATTGGAGCGCAGGAATTGCGCTGCCAAATTTGCCTGCCCAATAACGGAGTGTCATTACTGGCAAGATTACCTACAAAATGTACTCCAATGTGTTCTGCAAAGCTTGAGAAAGATTGAGAAAGTTTAGTGGGACAACTTTATTCCTAAATGGCCCGAAATCGACATGCCTCATCCCAGCACGGTTTTCGCTCCCGACTCTCCCCAGAAGCCACGCTCCTTACTGTATCTGACTATATCCTTGGTGTCACTGACGAACAGGAACTTACCGTGTTCTGCTTTCTGTATCTTTCCAGATATTTTGATGCAATCGACCACACAAAGCTTCTCACAAACTTCAAGCCTATTCTATCGATCCTACCTGGATCCCTTCTTACCTTCCTGGTCATACCCAATGTGCATGTAGTTTTGATTGGCGTGATAACCGACACCTTTCCAAGCCCCTGCCAATCCTATCGGTGTATTCCAAGGATCCTCTTTTGTCCCACCCCTCTTCCATATTCCTGCCAACGTTACGTCCCCGTTCGCCCTCGGCGCGCACGTGGTTCAGTACACTGACGATATCCAAGTTTCGTTACCTGGAAAACGGACTGCCTCCGACAGCTCACTGCTTCAATGGAACAGACACTTGAGGTTTTTGACATCTGATTCCACTCCCACGGTCTGGAAAGTAAATACTGGTAAAACGGAGCATGCTGTCTGTGGTTGCCGTCAAAATTGCGGCCTTTCGGTTCCGCGACGACGCAATGCGTGAGGACCCCACCGTGAGGAGCCTTGGTACACTGTTGACAATCACCTCACCTGGTCTCCCACGTATCTGTCTTCGTCCAAAAAGCAGCGGTATCCTCATCGGGCTGTTCCACGTGCGTCATCAGATCCCGCCTGACCTTCTGCCTGCCCTGGTCAATGCCTTGGTCCTCTTTTACGGCCGACATTGCCTCGCCGTCTGTGGCAACGGATCGGAGAAAACAAACAACGCCCCTAAAAGATCTTGAACTTTGCGCTGCGCGTTATCTCCGGCCGTCGCAACTGAGATCATATTTCGGCCGTGCGTGAGGAACTAGACTGGTCTGCTGCCAGTCAGTTCTACCAACGGCGATCTAAACTTGCTTCACAAAATACGTGCTACCGGCGAGCCGTAAACGCTTGCCCTAGCTCTGTCGCGCGTGGGGGCGGAGGCGGGCAGGGGGCGCCTCATGTAAAGCATCACGCAGCTTTACAACGTTGTACCTCCAACGCTCCTCACTTTGCCACTCGCGTCTTAAGGCGGAGATCTTCCAACGTTCGGAGATATTAAAGCAAGCATCAGATCCAATGAAATAAGCTCGCTTACGACTATTGGTTTACTTATAAATGAAAAAGACTGCTCCACGCAACATATTTTTTATTTCGTGAATATGCTCCTCATGAGAAAATCGCCTCCATTGCATTCACTCATAGTCACCTAAATATCGCCGAGAGATGGCAGCACGGTAATGGAAGTGTTCGCTGAGCTAAATATCTGTTTTCGGTGAGCACTCATTTCAAACATACACCTTCTCACTAAGTTTATGTTCGCCTCTTCCCGCTCCCGGCTATGGGGAGGCGTGGTAGGTACAGGAGGGACGAAACTGTCTCGGATTCCAACTCGGCCTCTGACGTAGGTACTTCCATGGCTAGCGACGACGGCAGTGCCGCTAGTCCAGCTTCGGCCGCCTCTTCATCTGATGACCCTCTCGCGCCCCAGACCCGTTTCATTGGTTTGGACACTTCTGCCACAACTTCTGGACTGCTCCCATCCTTCCGCCCAACGTCTCTAACTCCGACCCTCGTCCGACTTCGACCACTCCGGTGCCTGCTCGATCTACCGCTGACCCTTGCTTGATCATGAGCAGAGGTCGTCATAGCTGTGAGCCCATTCTTGACCCAATCGGCTCTTGCGTCGTAGTGCAGCCTCGTAACGGGAACGTCTGATTTCGAAATAAACGTTTTCTGGCAATAAAAACAAATTGAGGATATCCGCGAACCCCTGCGATCTCCAAATTAAAGCTCCATCAAACGGAATGCTCGTCGTCAGAACAACCACGCGTGCACAAACTAAAACCCTATTGCAAAGCACCGAATATTGTGTAAGTATAATAGGTAAAAATGTTCCTTCGCTAGGCAAGAAACAACAAAAAAGGTACCATTTTCGCCCTTGGGCTCCGTTTCATGACGGAGGAGGAGATACTGGCGTAACTCAGAGCCGAACATGTTTGCCATGTCCAACAGCTGACGCTGTTCTGAGATGGACAGTGTCGGGACAGCAGCCTACTTGTTTTCACTTTTGCAACAGTCCGACTCTCAGAGACCCTCACAGATGCCTACCTCCGATATCACGTCAAAGTATTTACACCCAATCCTCTTAGGCGCTTCAATTGCTAACGGTTTGACACGGTAGCAAGTACCGCAAAACACGAGACATACGGGAAAAAATTTGTTTAGAAAAATAGCAGGTGGGTGTATCTTACCAGCAGGCACGACGCACTGTCGAAACAAAAATTCCACAAAATCATACCCGCAGGCAATAAAAATAGGTCTAACAGATAGGTAAGAGCAGATTAACAAAGATGGCTCCCGACAAGAGCATAGGACACTCCGTTCAACTAAGAAATGCTCACAACACAATGTGGAAGGCTCCTAAATGATCGAGCGGGCCGGAGCAGATTAACAGATACGATAAGAGCGTACGTTCCTCCATTCAAACAGGAAGTACCCAATACCTAATACAGACAGCCCCAAACGATCGAGTGTGCTCCAAGCAGGCTATCAGATAGGGCCCCCGACAGGAGCGTAGGACTCTCTATCAAAAACGAAGTACTCGAAATCCAGTTTGGATGGTGCCCTTAAGATCGACTGTATCCGAGCATGCTATCAGATGGCCCCCAACAGGAGCGTAGGGCCCTACATTCAAATATCAAAATCCAATGTGCAGGGACCCCGAACAATCTAGTGTGCCCGAACAGGTTAATTTGAAGGGCCCCGAACGACCGAGTGTGCCCCAGGAGGTTAACAGATGGGCCTCCAACAGGGGCGTGGGGCCCTAAGCAATAACGGAGAATTGGAAGAGTCTTAGACCAATGTGCAGGGCCCATGGGCACATCGTGAGTGTGTCGGTAGGTTAACCGAGACTAACGTGAATGGCCCCTGAACAAACGAGAATACCCCGGCAGGTTAAGGCCTATCACTTTCGCTTGCGAGTATTCTTGGTCGCGTGGGAGCCCAAAGGCCTTTAATTTTGTTGCGTTTGGGTGAAAAACCTGAATCTGTTCGGCCGGTTATGGGCCCTTCGCAGCCAAGGGCCCCTCGGGGTCCAAATGGGCATGACCACGTGCCCCTTCTGATCCGCTCCTGGTCGCTTCAACACCCTCCGTTGACCTCCCAACGTACAGTTCGGGTATCCACAAATGAACTTTCTCGACCGGCAGGTCTTTCTAACGCTTCTTCCAGGGATGCCCTTCATGGTATATCCTCGGAAAAGCCGTGCGGTGCCTAAAAAAAAATTGACGATTAGCTATGTCCTTCAAGCCGATGAGCTTCTCACGACAAGCACATAACCAACGGCAGCTTACAGCCTCGCACTGAACCTAATTCGCGTGGCGAGCATTCCATGCAATTTGTCCCAAATGACACGGCGCTTTATAACGTCGCATAACAGACTTATCACGTCCTTTGCGAGTTGCTGAGGCGAGCTACGATTCTTGCAACTAGCATTTTAGAGTAGCAGTAGATAAGCCTAGTTATCTGGTATTCTTTGCCGAAGAGTATGTGAAGTGAACCTTGGCTGAGAAATCCGTGAAAAGCACCGATCTGAGTGACATTGGAAAATCACGATGTCACGGTTACCACTGATTTGTGACGTCAGCGCAAATATTATATAGTTTGTAGCATATTTGTGCCACCTGTTAGAATCCATCCTGATTAAAGCCATTGCGTTTGGAAGCATTTTATGGTTCGACGTGCTCAGGCAGCAAAACGTCAATGTTTCGAGATGCGTTCCACATAAACTCACGCTGCAAACGTCAGCGAGTACAGACCAATACTAAGCTTCGAGATTCGCCCAACTGTGATGGTTCGCGTAATTTGTTTCTATTTTCGCAGTTTTGTCACCAAATAGCTCGCAAAAGTGTCAACTTTTGTCACCAATCATACCCGGTAAATCGATGGCTTTTTCACGCCTTGGCACCTGCCTTAATAATGCCGCCATGAAAGGCAATCCCACAAGAAGCGTTGCTTCTCTTAACTGATCCAAAACGCACTGTGCCAGCCGCTTTCGTTCAACAAACGTTCAACTAACTAGT